CCAGCCCTTTTTTATTTTTTATTTTGAGATAGGGTCTTGCTAAGTTGCTTGGGACCTTGCTAAATTGCTGAGACTGGCTTTGAACTCCTGATCCTCCTACCTCAGCCTCCTGAGCTGCTGGGATTATAGGCATGAGCCAGCACACCCTGCTAGGACTTGGCCATCTTAAATTTGCCTGTGTGAATCCCCATAGCCAGGATAGTGACACGTATGTTATAGGAGTCAGAAGTTTATGGATTTTTTTCTATCAATATAATTTTTAAAAATTTTAAATAGGTATCTATGACAGCAGAATACATTTTGATTCATTGTACAAAATTGCAGCACAACTTTTCATTTCTCTGGTTGTACACAATGTAGTATCACACCTGATGTACAATCATACATGTATCTAGGGTAATGATGTCCATCTCATTCTACCATCTTTCCTATCCTCATACCCGCTTCCCACCCCTTCCTTCCCTTTGCCTCATCAATATTCCTCCATTTTTTCAATGTCCCCCCCCATTATGGATCAGCATCCACTTATCAGAACATTCAGCCTTTGGTTGAATGTTGATAAAGAAACCACAGTTTCTTTATCCATTCATCTATTGAAGGGCATCTAGGTTGGTTCCTCAGTTTAACTATTATGAATTGTGCTGCTATAAACATTGACATGGCTGTGTAACTATAGTATGCTGATTTAAAATCCTTTGGGTGTAGACTGAGGAGTGGGATAGCTGGGTCAAATGGTGGTAAGTTTGCAGATTTTAAGGAAACATCATCAGCCAGAATAGGTGTGTATCAGAAGGCTCCATTCCTTACCAGACTGAAGAGCAAGGAGTTTACTATAGTAGCTTTGATCTTTAATTTCAGCTGACTGGGTTGATACCAAATTTATGTGGCACATCACTGTGCCCTACATGCCTGTTTACAAGAGCCAGTCCACCCAGACTGTATCTCAGGGATCAGCAGACTATTTTTGGTCAAGATTCAGAATGCATTTGTCTAGCAGATGAACAGCATGACTTCCTCTTGTGTAGGCATACATGTAGGAATGTGATAGTCCTATTTATTAGTTTATGGCATCTTACCAGCACTGGTCTGAGCAGTACCCCTTCCTTGTTTCATGTCATTCACTTTTCCCTGCCTCACCATTCTCAGAAGCCATGTGATAGAAAAACACCATGTGTATCTTTGTTTTTAAAAAATGTTTGCAGTACCAGGGATTGAACTCAGGACTCATGCATGCTAGACAAGTACTCTATCTGTGAGTCACATCCCCAAGCCTGTCTGTATCTTTGGCTGATAGATAATACTGTTTTGCATGTGTGTCTTTTAGTTTACATGTTATAAACCTTTGGGGGGCTTTTTAAAACGTATTTTTAAAACTTCTTATTTTAAAATAATTTTAATTTCACAGAAAATTCACAAGAACAATACAAAGAGTAATCATGTATTCTTTATACAGATTTGTGTTTTTCTCCATAAAAAATAATGCATGTGCATTTATATGTATATGTATTTATGTAGATGCACATTGTTATTTTGAGCCCTTTGAGAATAAATTGCAAACATCAAGACCCTCTACCCCTACATACCATAATTCTGTTTCCTAAGAAGACACTTAAATATACACTATATAAGAAGTCACTTAAATATACACTTCCTAGTTACTAAAATCAGGAAATTGAGTGTCAATACAATATTATTATATCTACAGATTTTATTTAAATTTCACTGTTTTTTTTTTTTTCCTAGTAATGTCCTTTATGGAACTCTTTCTCCCGACTCAGGATCCAATCCAGGATTCCATCTTACACTTAGCTCTTATGTATCTTTGAACTATTTTTTTTTTAAGAGAGAGAGGAGAGAGAGAATTTTATTTTTAATATTTATTTTTTAGTTCTCGGCGGACATAACATCTTTGTTTGTATGTGGTGCTGAGGATCGAACCCGGGCCGCACGCATGCCAGGCGAGCGCGCTACCTCTTGAGCCATATCCCCAGCCCAATCTTTGAACTCTTTTAATTTGCAACCGTTCTTTCATCTTTCTTTTTCATGACATTGATATGTTTAAGAGGATAAGCAGTTACTTTCTGGAATGTCATTCAACATAGGTTTGCCAGATGTTTCCTCTCAATTACATTGCCTCCACTTAAAAAAAAAAATACCATGTTTTTAAAACTCTTTTTCTGTTGCTGCAACTATATCTAGTTGGTTGATTATCCCGGCTCTGTGGAATCCTCTAGTGAGAGTTGCCTTTTGGAAAGAACTGGCAGAGCTAGAGGAAGGCTGCATCAAGCAGATTTTTTAATTTTTTTGGCATGAGAAGGAGGTCCTGGTGGGGGCTGTATGACAGAGGAAATTGGAACACCACCTTGACGCATGTGTCATGGGTTGTTCTGCTCTAGCTGCTGGTGGTGGGCCTCAGATGTTTGCTTCCCCAACCATTTCTAAGGCACAAGGAGCTATTATGCTTATAGAAGACAAGGCAGGATACGAAGTTGATCTTTTAGATTGTTCCGTCCTTCATTCACTCATGCACTTAATAAACATTGATTAAGGGCCTACTCTGCTCGTTGGAGCTCATCTTCTAGCATATTGAACACCAGAAAGAAAGATTTCAAACTGAAAGTTCCTCTCTGAGAGGCAAATGTTTGAAAATGAAGGTTAAGGTAAATAGTTTGACATTTTCAATTTATTAGTAAAACAACCTTATAGAAAATTGTTTCTGCATCTTCTCCTAAATACAGTGATTTCTATTTCTCTCTGGCCTTTCTCATATTTACCAACATGGAACATAAATTTTGCATCATTATCTCCATAGTACATAAATAATTTTGCATTCCATGTTCTCCAGTGAAAATTATTTTGAATATAGTTTACCATTTTTCATAACCTGCATATTTATCACTCTTAATGATTGCAGTAAATTCTTTCAAGCTGTTCTACTATGACTTATGCATTTCTCTTTTGTGGTAAATTTGACTTGTTTCTAATTTTTTTTAACTAGTATTGTGTGTGTGTGTGGGGGGGGGGGTCCCTTTCAGAAGGAAGAATATAGAAGGCCTTTTGTTAAAGCAGTTTTGATAAATTGTTTCATTCTAACAAAGAAAGGTTGGATTGCTGTGAAGAAAACACAGACTTTTTAAGGGAAACATTTTCCTTTAATTATATTTTGAGTTTCATTTTATAATGGAAAGATAATTAGTAGAGAAAGATCTGATGCATTTCATATTCCTGACAATACTTTCCAGATATTGTTGGTTTCCAGGGGATAGTAGAGTAATGGGCTATGAAGCTAAGATATAAGGCTGCCGTGTGGCAGGCAGCTCCCAACTGCCCCAGTCTTGCGATCGTTCATTTTGCTTCACACAACTGGAGGATCTTGTGTTCCACCACACTTTCCTTCTGAGAGTCATGGAGGAATACATCACCCTCTGGCAGGAGGCCATCAGCTCTCTCACAGCAGGAAACATGGGTTAATCACCCTGACCTCTGGACACACCTGAGGAATGAACTCTCTGCAGCTGCTCTGTGAAGAGACTGAGGAAAGCAGGAACAGGCAGGAACTGAGATTGCACATGGAACTGAGATTGACAGTTCATCTTCCCTGGGAATCCTCTGAGCTTGAGGTGTGGAGAGGTATTTGCCAGAAATGAGCTGGAGGCTTGTCATCAGCTGGTGATTGCAGTAACCATTTCTAAAGAGAGAACAAATATAAGAATTTGTGACTGATTAACTGGGCTTGGGTGGGGCTGAAAAACAGACAATCAGTGGTTTGGCAGGCTCTGAAGGAATCTTCAAAGATCCTGGAGTTGTGGACTCTTCTGCATTAGTTATATGCCCATTATGTATCAGATGAAGATTTTCTTCACTTATAGAATGTGAAGAAAAACCTCCCTTTTGTTGAATGGAGATTGGAACTTGTGGGTTTTTTTTTTTTTTTTTTTTGGTGAGGGCGTGGTTACCAGGGATGGAACTCACGAGCACTTGACCACTGAGCCACATCTCCAACCCTATTTTGTATTTGATTTAGAGACAGGGTCTCACTGAGTTGCTTAGCACCTCACTTTTGCGAGGCTGGCTTTGAACTCTCAATCCTCCTAACAGCCTCCTGAGCTGCTGGGATAACAGGTGTGCACCACCTTGCCTGGTGGACCTTATGGTTTTATAATTTTACTGCTCTATTTTCTTGCTGCTTAGTGTGGAATGTGGAACCTAAAAAGTTGTCTTTTTTTGGTGTGTGCATGGTACAGGGATCAAACCAGGGACAGTTTACCATTGAGCTATATTCTCTGCCCTTTTTATTTTTTGGTTTTTATTTTGAGACAGGGTCTTGCTAAGCTGCTGGTCCTGAACTTGCAATGCTCCTGCTTCAGCCTCCTGAGTTTCTGGAATTGCATGCATGTGCCACTATGCCCAGCCAATAAAGATTTTTGATTGGATAATGACTTCAGTTACTGGATTTTGTAGACTAAGCATGTGATCATCTGGGAAGCTGAAGCCCACTGGGTTAAGGGCTTCTCTCAGGTTACTATAAAAATGAGTAACAGCTAACTAAACCAAGCCCAGCAACAGTAGGGTACAATGGAAAGTCCATGGGCTTTGGAGCCAGGGAGATGAGGATTATTTTCCTGATTTTACTATTACCTTCTGTCTTCACTTGGTTGATCTGTTTGCATTCTGAGAACCTAAGTGTTTTCACCTTATCATTTGAATAAAATTGCTTTTCTTGGGGTTTGTATCAACTTCATTGCTCACAGTAGACAAAAATGTTGCCTTCTTCTTTCTCTGCCAAAAGGGAGATGATCAAAAGGCAGGAGGTAGGGTGGACAAGATAATATGTCCAGATCTCTGCATTCACATTCCTTGAAATTCACATTTCAAGCATACCATATCGTGTCTCCATCTGTCCATGCCAGCAGCTAATGCGGCAGGACTTCAAACAGCATGTGCACCTTTTGGTTTTGCTTTCAGCCTCTCTATTGTAACTGTGTTCTTTGCCTCTGCAGGATTTATGAACGTGTGATAGACACTCCAGAGACCAACCTTCCCCCAGGAAGCAATTTATGGCTTGGTCAGCGAAACCAAAAGCATGGCTTATTCAAAGTAAGCACTAACTTTCTATTTTATTTACACACACACACACACACACACACACAAAGACACACACACACACACAACACATATGATGCTTAATTCTCAATGTTGCTGGAGATGTGTATTGATTACATTAGTGGGAAGGACATGGCATAATTATTGATGATAATTGAACACTTACTGTATGCCACATGCTTTTCTATTGTGTGACATGAATTAACTCATCTCATTGTCACAATGACTTTATAAAGTAGATAGCTTGCAACCAGGCAGAGAGCTAAGTGACATGTCCAAGGGTCACACAGCTTACTGCACTAGGCATGTTCAGGCATGGGTGATCCAGAATGTAGCTGATCCTTAGAATGTGTCTTAACTGCCTGATTTGGGGGACTTAAAGTAATATGATAATCTTTGAATTGGTTGTAGAACCAATAAGATAATGTTAATTCAGTTAGGGATAGAAATCTCTCTCTATCTATATATTTAAAATAGGACCCAATCTCAGCTTCTTTGAGCTTTGTTTTTCTTGCCTGTCAAGAGGGTTTTACAATAACTGCATTATTGTACTTCAAGAAGACACAAGGATATGGCGATAAAATGAATTGAAAACACCGTGAAATTGTAAGATAGTCTTGTTCTTTAAAAGAACGACAGACTTTTGCCTCTGGCAATATGGTAGACCAGATATAATCTAAAAATCCTCTTGATTCAAAATTCTTGTAAGTCTGGATAAAATACAACAGAAATCTTTTAAAACTCATCATTGCACTTGTAAGAAGGAAAATCTTTTAGGGACTAAATATATTGAAGAGAAAGAAAACCAGAAGGGTATCCACCAATACTAGAAACTTAGAGGATGAGATGTTTCCTTTTCCTTTTTTAAAAATTTAGGCTATAATTTACATACAGTAAAATTTGCGCCTTTAAATACCTAGTCTTATGAGCCTTGGAAAACCTGTATTCTCATAATCACTATTAGAGTCAAGATGAAGAAGCATCCCATCACCTCCCAAAATTTCCATATGCCCTTTGTATTCAAATTTAAGCCTGTAGCAACCACTGATTTGTTTTATGATCCTGAAGTTTGCCTTTTCCAGAATGTTACATAAATGAAATCATTTATATATGTAATTATGTAAGTATGTATGTTGGGTCTTGTGTGTATAGGTGGTTTGTTCTTTTCTATTGCTGAGCAGTGTTTCAATTCTATTGTAAACACAGTTTATTCATTCCTCAGTTGGTGGATTTGGGCTGTTTTTAATTTGGAGCAATAATAAATAACACTGCTATAACCATTTGCATACAAGTTTTTGTGTGAGCAAAAGTTTTAAGGTAAATATGTAGGTCTGGGATGGCTGAGTCATATATTAAGTACATGTTTAACTTCATAAGAAAGTGACATACTATTTTTACAAAGTACCTAAATCATTTTGCATTTCCATTAGCAATGTAGGAAAATTTCAGAGCCTTAAATTTCAACAACCTGTGTGGACCTTTCTCATGAAAGGTCTTAGAGTCCATGTATGTTTGGGATGTGTATGGAAACTTCTGGTCTAAATCTAGAACCTTGAAAACTATACCTCCATTGATAGGGTAGGCAGAGAAAGCTTACTATATAGCAAAGGGAAGTCATTCAATAACTAGCCTGACTCCATCTCAACTCCAGATAAGAAAGAATAACACTTCTTTGAAAACTGAACCTTGGCCCTATCTTTACGTAGGCTTGACCCCTAGATTAACCTGATCTATGAAGCTTAATCAGCTGTCTTAGAGTGGTCCTGGATTGTTGGTACCTGGAAATTCCTGATTAGAAAAGGCTTTGGAAAATGTCACTTTCAATGCGATCTCATAAGGTGCCCACAGATTAGGTCCATAAAGATGAGTTTGTAAGCCATTATGAGTGACAGTGATTGCTCAATTAGCCCTTCAAGGGCTGCAGAAATTGGGATTAGTAGGCAAAGAATTTTTTAAATGCATATGTTTAAAATGTTTAAAGAAACAAAACAGTAAATTGAAGAACATATGATGACTAGAGATGATAAATATGACCAAGAATAGTTGAACTGAAAAGCACTTTTAGAAAAGAACACTATAGTCATCAAAGCAAAACAAACAAACACAAACCAAACCCCCCCAAAAACAAAACAAAACAAAACAAACGAACAAACAAACAAAACCCCCAAAAATATCTCAGTGAAACTGCTAAATTACAGATTAGACTTAAGTAGGGAGGGCATTCATGAAATGAAAAGTATTATAAAGGTTATTACCCCAATAGTGGTGCAGTGTAAAAGACAAGAGAATAGGAAAGAGGTTAAATGTAGAAAAATCGTTTATAAAAATTTTACACATCTGTTTAATGTGTATATATGTATGTATGTGTGTATTATATATTTCATGTATAATAAATATGTATTCATATTAAATATATATTAAAATTCCAGATGATGATAAAGAAAAACAGGTTATATTATGAGTATAATTGTTAATAAATCAATTCTCATTATAGGAAATAAAATGAAATCAAGACGTATGTTATCTGTTGCTGCTTATCAAGTGGCTTAGAAAACAGATGCTTAAAGAACTGCCACTTTGCTTAGCTTCTAATTCTGTGCTTTGGTTAGATGATTTTTCTGGTCTGGTTTGTCTAAGCAGATACTTGCTGGATGCTCTCAAGGGTCTGTGGTCAGCTGGCACATCAGTGGGTGGCAGGATGATCTAGGGACTCTTCGCATCTCTGGCAGTAGGCTGGCTGTTGTCTGGTGCTCCTCAGTTCTCCCTACATGGCCTCTCATTTTCCAGTGGCCTAACTCAGGATTACTCACATGGCAGCCTTGAGATTAAAAGAATAAGAAGAAAGCAAGCCCTAATGTGCTGGTACTTTTCAAAGCTATTTATTTGATTGCATATACTAACATTTTATTGTTCAAATAAAGTCATATATTTCAAATACAGAGTCAAAGGGTAAAGAAATAGACAATCTGTCTTGAAGTGGTGGTAAGCAAAATCATACTACTAAATTTGGATGCAAGGAGTAGAAGAATTTTGGGGGGTGCGGTACTGGGGATTGAACTCAGGTGCACTCCACCACTGATCCACATCCGCAGATCTATTTTGTATTTTGTTTAGAAACAGGGTCTCTCTTGAGTTGCTTATTGCCTCACTTTTGCTGAGGCTGGCTTTGAACTCATGATCCTCCTGCCTCAGCCTCACAAGCCGCTGGGATTATAGGCGTGTGCCACCACACCTGGCAGAATTTTTGACTATTTTAATAACTGATTATACAAATCAAGATACATACACCTAGAAATAGTGGTAAAATTGCAATATCCCAAAGTCACAGAGAAGATCTTAGTAGAAGTAGCCATTGAGAAAAAGCAATTTTTCTACAAAAGAATAACATAGATTGAACAGCTGGCTTTTAAATAACAAAAGCAGAAGCCTGAGGACAATGGAAAAATATTTTCAATTTTTTGAAAGAAAAATGACTCTCAAATGTAAGGGCATATACACAGCTTGATTATTATTTGAGAATGACTGTGAAATAAGGACATTTGTAGACAGACAAAATTCTCAGTTTAGAACCAATAGATCTTCATTTGAAAAACTTCCTAGAGGAAAACATAAGGTACAAGAAAAATTGAACAAATAAAAATTGAGAGCAGGCATGAGCCTGAATAATCATTGTTTGAAGAAATAATAATACTCTCACTTAACTTAAGAAAAAAATCAGAAATATTGGTAGCAATAAGATTATAGTAGGGGACAATTTAATTTAGAGTGTTCTAAGACCTTTAATTTGTTAGGAAAAGAATAGAGGAATGGATTAATATTAGACTTTATGTTTGCATTTAAAAAACTATACCAAGAACAAAATAATAGAAATCATCTTTAACTCTAAAATTTAAGTATTTGAGGAATGTGATTTTAAAAACACCTCCATCAAGCTGAGTGTGATGCATTCCTTTATTTAGTCTCAGGTATTTAGGATCCTGAGGCAGGGGGGATTGCTTGAGCTTGGGAGTTTAAAACCACCCTGGATGGTGGAGTAGCATAGTGAGACTCAAAACCTCTGCTGGGCACAGTGATACATGCCTGCAATTCCAGTGCTTCAGTAGGCTGAGACAGGAGGATTGAGAGTTCAAATCTAGCCTCAGCTACTTAGTGAGAACCTAAACAACATATTGAGACTCTGTCTCTAAATAAAATATATATATATATAAAAAGGGCTGGGTCAGTGGTTAAGAAACCCTGGGTTCTATCCCTGGTACTAAAAAAAAAAAAAAGGAAAAGAAGAAAAAAAGAAAACCCCCCAAAAAACAAAGCAACAACAACAAAAATCTGTCAACTAAAAATAAGGGAAGAGGAGCAACATCAATGTTTAATGTAAGACACCAGCTAAAATTTTAGTCCAAAATATTTATTTCATATTAAGTGGTTATCACTCAGGGTTAGAAATGAGAGTATGCCATTGGATTCAATGGACTCAAATTCTGCTGCATATTGTTAATACTCTAACAACAAAAAATCATGATTCAAAAATGCTAAAAATGATAGTAAAACAACAACAACAACAACAATAAAACACAGACTGAAAGAAACTTGAAACGACTGGAGAAGCTCTGGTTATATCAACTTTAAGGCCAAAAAGTTCAACCACACAATGATAAACAATTCCAAAGGTGCTACATTCAATAACATAACCTCAAAATATTCATTGCAGCATTGCAAAACAGTGGGGAAGAATGGCCTTCTCACTGCAGCATGCCTGGTCACTTGAATACTCCTGTGGGAAAGAAACAATTTTGACCCTTATTTCATACTATGTTCAAAGTCAATTCTGTTTGCATTATAGACCTATATCAAAAAACTTTTATGAAAGTTAGCATAGAAAAATATCTTTATGACCTTCATGGAGGAAAATTTCTTTTTTAAAAAAGCTAACAAAAAATAAGAACTAAAGAGAAGGTTGATATATTGCAATATACTAAATCTGATGATTTTTTATT